GGCCTGAGAACGTGTAGCAGGTGGCCGATGACTGGCAGGCTGCTGTACTGCGGGTAGCCCTCGGCGATGCGGCGCGCGCGGATCGCCGCGGGGTCGAAGTACTTGGATTTGAACACGCCAAACGCCAGCAGGGCCAGCAGCAGGAGCAACAGCAGCAGCGCCATCTCGCTCGCCGGCCACACGGAAGACAGGGTCATCATCTGCAGCAATTATTTGGGTGCTCGTCAAACCCAGGGCACAGATTGCACACTAAAAGCTCATAAAAAAAATTTATTCATAGCTTACTCATTGTCAGTTATTCTGAGTACGTGCTCTGCTTACGCATTTTTTAATACGCCGGTGTGAACAAATTTGTTCACATCGGCGTATTTAAAAATGCGTAAGCAGAGCACGTACACAGAACTCAGTAAGCTATGAATAAAAATATCCATAAGCTTTTAGTGTGATGGAGGCACTACATCCTAGTCCCAGATCCCATGCTGAACCCGCTGAAGCAGATGAACCATTTGAACCGGTGAATGACAACAACCGTTCGTGCGAAGGAAATCTTGCGGAAACCTTATCGGTCAAGCTACACGGGACATCGATAATTGAGTTATCAGTAGAGGTCATTGGCTGTCACTATTCCCGAAGTGTGACCCCGATAAAAGCGTACGAGGAATGTCACTGTAAGCTAAATTATTTAAATCGAGTTTTACAAATCATCCGCATTATTTTGTTTTACAAATGCTTTGGTTATTTTATGACTCTCATATGATTCGTACCTAAAAAAATAGCGAGTAGTAATTCGTAAAATGCTTATGTGCAGTGGGTTGAGTTCCTCTCCACACTAAAATTGCCAAAAAATAGTACAGTCATCAGAATTAACTTATAATCTTGAACCTTTGACTGTTTTTTATTTCAGGCTTTATTCGTCACATTACACGTGGCAAGCGATTCGCATCCATTCATAAGTTAGTCTTAACATGTTCAGTGCGGCGCGACAACAATGAAGTCACGCTTTGCTATATTTCCCTACCCTCAGGCCAGAATGCACAGACTTCCTGAACGTGTTGACACAAAAATTACAAAGGCTGCTTTACAAAAAAAAACTAGATGGAGCTTGACTACAGTTCATTTATTACGCAACGGCCCCTTTTTAACAGTATTTTAGGTGCAACCGTATATTTCTTTTCCCGACTCACCCTAGAGTAGCTAAACTACGGCAGTCTTTCTAATCCAAATCAACGATAGTTGCAGTGGTTCTGGGACAAGTTGGCTCCAGCGCGAGCGAGTCTGTCGCCGACCAGCCTGCGATTCAGACTGGCGGCGCTCTGAGACTGAGCCGGACTGAGCGGCCGTGTGAGCGTCTGACCTAGCCGGCGCCCGTGGGCGTGGGCCAGTGCCCAGACCGCAGTTGACCTTGAGTCCACACAGTTTTATTTGATAAGAAAACACAAAATTATGACTTCTTCCGATCACGAGAAAAAATAGTTGTAGGTTTTACGGGACAATTATCCGTAGAGTGTGTCGTAATATTACAATTCAAAATCGGAAAAGTACAAGAACTACACTCCAAACCCAACAGTGTACTTAGTACACTAAAGGAAGAGTTCCACACGCACAACTGGAAACCAAACGAATGTCCAATTACTAACGCGCCTGTTCTTTTCCATGGTGTTTATGGCCGTCCAATGCTCTGTCTACTAGGTGTACAGTACAGCACTCATAAAAAAAATACTCCCTTGTCTTACCAGTAAATGGTGTGTATAAGGATTGAAGCTGCCTCAGCCAGCAGCCACGGCACCTTTCCGGGCAGGGGAAGTATAGTGAAATCAGGGGTGTCCAGCAACTGTGCGACTTAGGCACCCTTCATTCCCGGGCGTCCAGAGTGGAAGAAAGGAGTGGAGCAGAAGAAAAGTCCTACATATCAAAAAATATGGAAATGTAGCCTACTTGATGAAAAAAGTATTAAACAAAGTTGGTTGTGTTAGAACGATTAATATCGATGTTACATAATAAATTGTTTAAGAAAAAGTTTTATTTACGAGGAAGTACATGGTCGATGAGCAAATAATTGTTATTCAGCTGAGCGACACGAAGATCATGGGGTGCCGATAGAAGTGTTTCTTAGACAGTCCCCAAGACTGTCGCTACCAGAAGGAAAATAACTGCACGACCCCCCCTCCCTCCCCCTACTTTCCTCGCTCCTCCTCGATCACTTGGAGTCGTAATAATATGTGGCGCCGCAGAGCCAAATGCAAATTTCTGTTTATATGGCGCCGGTGGGTAGGCAACCCAACGGGCAGACGCGGTGGCGATCTTGCTGGGGTGTCAGCAGATGAGTCATTCTACATGTGATTTATTTGAATTGCAGAGACCCCTCCATTTTGAAAAAGAAATGTGTTTGCTAATGATTGGGTCTACCAAGATATCTAGTTTTTTGAGGTGTTTCGATGCAATGTAGAAAAACGTCCCTTCTCGGAGCCAGGACGCTCCAGGAGTCTACCACTGGCTTCGACGTAGCACGGTCTCGGGAATCCGATTCCGGTCCCAGAATGGACGTTGCTAAACTGCATGCGTCCCAAAATGTAAAACTTTGTGTGTTTATCATACGATTTGCCGAGTTTAGGATGGCTGACGAGGGGGCCGCAACTCCCCAAAAATGTGTACACCGATTGCCAATCAAATGACTGGATGTGACTGGAGATGATTGATGCTCTTAACTCTGGAGAGTCCATGGACGGCATGGCACAGTCACGTACCTCTAGGCCTGAGAACGTGTAGCAGGTGGCCGATGACTGGCAGGCTGCTGTACTGCGGGTAGCCCTCGGCGATGCGGCGCGCGCGGATCGCCGCGGGG